TTTGCATATTTTTCATCAGCACTTCTATCTTAGAACAGAACTGCTGGCAAACAACACAGCGAGAAACGAACTGAGCCTTGCTATACTGCCTTTGTTATATTGGAGGAGATTTCAATAAATATGTGGATCAAATAGGATTGTGAAAGGATTTCAGGACCAAAAACAATAAAAATGAGAGAGTTTAATCATATTAAAAACTACGTTGTGAGAGATAGCTTAGGCTGGAAGTATTTTCTTACCATGTATTATTTTTTTCAAAGCTTTCAAAGCAGAAATCTAATAATCAAAGCTATAAATTAAACTGATATCAAGTTTTTAAATAGATTTCCTGAACTCACGTACACAAAATGAGGCATATAAAAACACTGCAGAAAGCACAGTTTTTTTTTTTTTTTTTAAGAGATAACATGGTTCTGTGAGCGCATGTGTTATTGGATTCATGCTGTGTACATCTCTGGGTGTGAGGATTGAGTGAATGTCGCTCTGAATTGGTGCGAGAGTAGCTCATCACCAGTAAAAGATGGAGATGGGTGTGTGAGTTTGGGTATAGAATTGCCTCTTTTTTCAGCTTGTATGAAGTGGGCTGGTTTCTCATTTTTCCTCCCATTACTAAATAAAATGCATCCTGCTGTTTGGGCTGATGTGACAGAACAGATACGTTAATAGAACGGGTGAACTTTCACAGAGGTGACCCAAGAAATGACAGTTAAAGTTTGCTGTAAAACTTTAAGGCGATCTGTAATTACATCGGCTAATTGTTAAAGCCTCTGTGGCTAAAAGGTCATCTTTATAGATTATATTTCCTATAGCAACTGTCTAATAAATTTTCCTTGATGGGATTGGATAGGGTTGTAAAAGACATTTCCTCTAAAGTTAATAACCCAATATTTAATGAAACATTTCTTAAAGTAAGTTTTTACTGTAGCATGTAAACTGGAGCAGTTTCCCACATGCACAACATTTCCTGGACCATTTTGCTTTACCTTGACTGGATTCAGGTTCCACTGTGGAGTTCAAACATGGCTAATGCATGTCTTTATTATCTGCTGACGCTAAGAGGGTACTCCAGCCAGGGTGTTACTACTACCCAGTGTCAGGCGATATTGGGGACTGAGATTACTGCCCATCACAACTGCAGGGTCCAAATTACTTTCAGAGCAGAAATATGACAAGTGCAGCATAAATCCCCTTAGTTTTATAGCAATAGTGTGTTAAAACCCCAGTAAAGATGCTCCCAATTTGAAAAAGTGTAATTAAAAAAATGTTTGAAAAGAGGAAAGAAGATCCAGTTGCAAATATAAGCAAACCTAATACAGGAAAAAATTCCAAAACAACGTATAACTGATAAATCTGTCGCATGAATCACATCTTTATAATATATATAGCCAGGCTATTCAATTGGCGGCCCCAGGGCCGGGTCCGGCCCCTTTGGGTTTTTGTACCGGCCCCTAGAGTGTACTGTGATTATTACATACTGATAGTCTTACATAGTGCATGAATATCACTAACTGCACGTTCTCTCGTCCAGTAGGGGGTGGGATGCGCACGTTTAAGTCATGGTGGAAAAACAGGAATACAAAAACAAATACCTGTTTTCGTCGGACATATATTTTGGGAGACAGCACATGACCAATCAAAAATCACCATTCACGGTGAGCTCTAATTCAATTCTCTGACATTTATCTGTCAAGCGTGAAGGATTGGCTAACAAGCCAAAATTTCTCTCTCTACCTTAAAAAAAAGAAAAGTTGACTCGGAGAACAGGCAGTTCAACAATGAATGGACAGAGAAATACGCGTTTATTGCAGTTGATGCGAATCCTGTGTGCTTAATCTGCAACGAGTGCCTCGCCGTGTGTAAAGAGTATAATTTAAGAAGGCATCACAACACAACGCATGCTAACTTCAACGCTACTTTCCCACCGGGCTCAGCCGCTCGGAGGCAGAAGATTTCAGGGCTCACATTTTGTTATGAGCAAAGACGTCGCATATTGTTTCGGGCCTGTACGGATCAAGAGAGAGCAACGGCGGCATCGTTACGAGTGACATGGATATTGGGAAAAAAGAAAAAGCCGTTTACAGACTCGGAGATAGTCAAGGAATGTATGCTGGCATCCATTAATGAGGTGGTAACAGATGAAAAAACCCGAAAAAGCGTTATTGATTCGATCAAGCGAATTCCAATATCTGACACGTCAAATATGAGGAGAGTCGAGTCCCTTGCCTCGGATGTTTTCGAGACACTTTTGGACAAGCTGAGGAAGGCTGAGGTGATGTCTTTGGCCGTGGATGAGTCGACAGATAACGGTGATGTTGCGCAGCTGTGTCTCTATGTGCGATTTTTTGATGGAGAATGTATTCGCGAGGATCTGCTTGGACTAATTCCTCTGGAAGGGCACACCACTGGGGAGATTTTATTCACCAAAATTGCTTCATTCTTTGAGGAGAACAACTTGGATTTGGCGCGCGTCAACATGCTGGTGACAGATGGCGCGCCCTCGATGGTGGGCAGGGATCAGGGGCTTGCCGCGAGGATGGCAGCCGTGGCTCCACATATGAGATCGCTACATTGCCTCATCCACCAAAGCCTTCTGTGTGCCAAACTCAGTGCTAAGTTAAAAGAGACCATGGACTCTGTCATGGCAATTATAAACTTTATCCGTTGCACCTCCAGTTTACAGCACCGCCTTTTCCGCCAGCTGTTAACTGACATGTCTGCTGAATACAAAGATTTGCTCATTCACAATGACATTAGATGGCTTAGCAAAGGACATGCATTGAAACGTTTTTGTGAACTAAAAGAGGAGATTCTGGTGTTTCTCCAGTCTTCAAAAATGAAAAAAGCTGGCAAGTTTCTGTCTCTGATGGGAAATGATGATTTTAATGCCACTGTTTGCTTTTTGAGTGACGTTTTCCATCATTTGAATCAACTCAACATGGAGTTGCAGGGCAGGGATAAAACAGTCTCAGAACTTGTGGAGAAACTTCATGCTTTTATAAGAAAGCTCTCACTCTTCTCTGCTGATCTTTGTCCTGGGAAGATGCTCCACTTCCCCACATTAAGGAAATCTGGTCTGCAAATTACTGAGGTGATGTCAGGCTTTATTGACTCACTGAAAAACAACTTTTCCACCAGGTTCGATGATTTCAGCATCTCCAGCGAAGTGGTGAGATATGTTAAGGACCCTTTCTGTGTGAATGTTGAGACAGACTTTGCATTGAAAGGAAAGGAGCTAGTACCATCATTGGATGAAGCTTTTTTACAACTGGAACTCATTGACATTCAGTCGTCAGATGACTTGCGACAGTCATTGCAGCAGGCAGGTTTTGAAAAATTCTGGACTCATGTAGTCAGCCAAGAAAAATTTCCACACTCAAGGGGTCTTGCACTTTTTCTTATGACAATGTTTAGCTCAACATACACTTGTGAGTCGTCATTCTCACACATGAATGCCATTAAAACTCACAATCGCATATCCCTCACTGACCAGCATCTGCAACACTGCTTACGCATTGCCCTGACAACATATACACCTGACTTCACTGCTCTTGCTAAGTCAAAAAAATGCCTTTTCTCTCATTAGATGCAAATGTTGGCAAACTACATGCAAAGTGACAGTCATGTTAGTCAAACAAGTAATGAGGGTTGATTTTTGAACAGTATGATGCAATTAACATGTTATTCACCTCATAATATGCACTTAATGTTTTTTTTTTATATGGTATGGCTCAACTGAACTGAATATTGAGGTGTCTGATGCAATTTCAATATAGGCAGATAAAGGAAAAAAAATGTAAAGAGAGGTCAACTAAGGGACTGTTACAGTGATTTTTTTTCTCATGTTAGCAGGGCTAAAATGGCTGAGATGATTATTGTTGAAAGCAGTTTGAAATGTGCCTTGATAAAGTTCACTGTTATGTTGTTGTAATTAGAAGCATACTATGCAGTTTTTTATATTTGTTGGTGCACTTGGAATTGAAGTTGTTTGTCAGTTAAATGAATACAAATGTAAACAACTGACAGTAGTAGTCCATGTGTGGATTTATGTGTATATGTTGTTCTGCATTTACAAAACAGAATATATCTTCAGTATGTTGTAATTTCTTTTTTTGTTGCCGTGATTACTCATATTCTCTGGCCCCTTATTTTGCCTCAGATTCATGAACTGGCCCCAATTCCAAATTAATTGAATAGCCCTGATATATAGGCTCAGTCGAATAACATTTGAAAGAAAGCCACCCCACTGGTTGTTCAGTATTGTCACAAGAGAAGATTGAGATTATGGTCCTAATTATTGATCAGGAGTTATGCTGTGACACAGAAATAAAACACTTGTAATTTGGGTTATGCTAATCCCGAGAGCTTTCATAACAAAAGCCTGTCAGAGTGCTCTCGTGTTGGAGTGTAAACTCTACACACAGCTGCTGCTGCTTCTGAAATTTTCAAACCTAAAATCAAAAATAAACAATTCAAATGTGCTGTGATTTTTTAAACTTGGATCTTAGGACATCAACACAGTAAAATAGTCTAGTATTATAAGTTTTGTCATTGATAAAAATGGATGTCCAATCTTTGTTTCCCAGGAATTATCATTTGATTTATTCCTTTATAAATATTTGTTATAGAGCATAGTGAGTGTTAATACTTGGTTTGAATGTTGGTTTGCAAGTAGAAATGTCAATGTCTCTTAATTTATAATTTTAAAGTTATTTAAATCTATAAACTGAGAAGAAATGAAGCTGGGAACCACTAATTATCCCAGAAGTCTACCCTTGGTTCAAGGCACTGTACCTCCCAAAAAGGCTACCTGGGGAACCTTTCTACATCAATCATCTGATTTGGTTCCTGTTCCTGCATTAGAGACAGAAAAAAATTAACAATGGCCCCAGATTACCAGCATTGATATTAAACTGGCTACTACATTATTGAGGAAATAGACACAGGTCTGCTAAAGACATTTAAACTCAGATCATCAACGTTTTTTTTGGTGTTTTCTCCAGGAACCACGGTGATGACAATGATGGCGTTTGATGCAGATGACCCTTCCACAGATAACGCTGTTCTACGTTACAACATCATCAGACAGTCCCCGGACAAACCTTCACCAAACATGTTCTACATTGACGCAGAGAGAGGCGACATTGTCACCGTGATTTCTCCAACGTTACTCGACAGAGAAGTGAGTATACTCGGCGTTCCCAGTCTGAACTGATCCTTTCAGAGGGTTAACAGGGTGTGGCTTTTCAAGCTGTGCAGCATTGTCAGGTTATTGCTTGTCACCAACAGTTTTTACAGCAAAACTTACATTCTGTGTTCTTCTGCTCATCTTGGAGCCAGCAGGCTGCAGTGTGGTCATGCATTATGTGTGTGTGAGCATAGTGAGACACTTTTAAGTGGTTCTGTGTGTCTTCGCGTGAGGGGGCACTGGTGTGTTTCAGCAAGCAGAATCCAGATGAGTGTCTCTCCATTTTTCCATCTAACCAGAGCGAGACGACGGGATGATTGCTTTTCTGGCAGGGTGACGAATGCCAGAACATCGATTGGGTTCGCTGGTGGAAGAGGAATATTAGCTGTTGTCAGACACTTAGCGAACAGTTTAATTGAGGTGATACACACTCATCCGTCGATCCTGGTGCTGTCCAACAAGCCTGGCTGAAAACCTGCCATCCGGAACTGCTGGAACCATGGCTACTAAGTGGCCTGATGAGCCAATCTCAGAGCTGCCGTAAACTGTTTAATAGAGGTGTAATTGATTAAAAGTACAATGAAATGAGATGTAATCATAACAGCCAGCACTGTTAGCTGCTTCTCTGCCATGAAGGATGGTAACATGTCATTCACAAGCTGTACGGTGGTGTTTTTAGTTTTTTCCATAGTTTAACAACACTAAGAGCACATTTGAACCAAATCTTTAGACAAATTATATAAAAAGAAGCAAAATGATTAATCTCTTTGGCATTAAATCAGTTTAAACCTTTAAAATCTAGAGGTTAACATACACTTAATTACTGTGCCAATTCCTTAATAGAAACCACGGCACTACAAAAACTTTAAATCTAAGTAAGTCAATTTTTCTTAAATGAAGAGCATTTTTCTTGAATTGAGCTGGTAAGTGAGGTACTTTGCCAATGGAACAAAACAATTTTCATTTAAAATAAGAAGTGTATTTAAAGTGCATAATATCTAATTGTCATATTGTAAGGATAAACATTAGCTGATATGTTAATGCTGATAAGTTAATGCTGGCCCCAATAAGTTAAAGCATATGTTAATGCTGGTTAGCTGATAAGACGGAGGGAGAGGACGCTGGCGTTGAATGTTCGCCGCTTCTCCACCGCTTCGCCGCTTCTCCACGGAAAAAGTTGTCGTTATCAACCGTCGTCATTTCTCGCTGGATTTTCTCCTGTGCTGGTCTGCAAGTTATGCTGTGGATTACATCGCTCTGTTTCCTGAATGTCTGTTTTGGAGCCGTGGGTCTGCTATTAGCGGTTAGCTCCATGCTAGCTTCTCCAGGCTTGACCGGCTCGTCGATGTTGACCTATTCCGCCTCCCAGCTGATTGGACTTAACAACTACTCCATCCCACCCTGTGTTTCCATCTTAAAACGACTGGTTCTTCTGCGTAGACCCCGCTATGTCCATAGAGGCTCTCGGAGGAGAACTGTTTTTCATCAGCAGCCTGGATCTGGCCCTATGGCTTCCTTCTGGTCTACCAGACGTGTCGCGCAACGCTTTCGTCATCAGAATGCAGCGTCTGTGCTCCCTGATATGGCTGGAAGAACTCAATGCATGAAGGGGCAAGGAAAACGTGGAGTGGATTTCAGTCTGCTAAAACCTCTCCATAAGGCTTCCACTTCAACCAGTATTAAAATAGAACTTTTTAATGTTCAATCACTGACCAACAAATCCTGCCTTATTCATGACCATATTCTGGAGAAAAATGTGGACCTTATGTGCCTTACTGAAACATGGCACCCACCGGATGTGTACAGTTCGCTGAATGAAGCTTGTCCCCCTGGATACAGCTATCTGCAGAGAGCTCGCCGCAAGGGGCGAGGTGGTGGTCTGGCAGTAATTTACCGCAGTGATTTAAAATTGTCCGATCTGGCTCTTCAGGACTTTTCTTCTTTTGAATGCTTGGCCTTCAATCTCAAAGCCCCACTCCAGATGAATATAGCATTGCTTTATCGGCCTCCAAAACAACATGTTTCATTTAATTCAGAGATACATGACCTCCTAACTTTTTTCTGTGCCCGTTCTGTGAAAAATATTATTCTTGGAGATTTCAATATACATTTTGATAATTTTTCTTCCCCTCTGGCAGCAGATTTTAAGTCTCTTCTGGACTCACTAAATCTAACTCAGTTTGTTGATGCCCCTACACACAATAGGGGGCATACTCTGGACCTGGTGATTACAGACACTGTAACTATCAATAACTTATCTGTATATGACCTGGGCGTCTCGGACCACAGTATCATTTCTCTAGAAGTGCCTTCAACTTTGTCTGCTCCAAAATCTAAACGTCTTATTCAGTTCCGTGATTTGAAAAATATCTCCCCTGGGGCTTTGTCTTCTGCTTTTCATTCCTTGACTGCTGTCAATCATTCTTCTGTAACTGACTCTGTGGATTACTACAATCAATCTCTCCAGGAGCTTCTGGAGCTCCATGCTCAACTGAAGTCGAGGCTGGTGTCATTCTGCCGCTCAGCTCCTTGGTACACCGATGAGCTGCGGAACATGAAAGCTGTTGGACGTGCTATCGAGAGACGTGTAAAAAAATCAGGTCTCTCTGTACACAAGCAGGCATATAAGGAACATCAGAAAGCGTATGCCTTTTCTCTTAAGGAAGCACGGTCTAAGTATTATTCCAACATTATCAACAGCTGTCCGGGAAATTCCAAACAGCTTTTCTCGACAATAAAACATCTCCTTCATCCCAATCAACAAACTGAGGATGAGGATTCGACTGAAAAATGCAATCTGTTTCTCTCATTTTTCAAAAACAAAGTAAATTCTATTAGATCTCAGCTCCACAGCCTTCCTGATCTTCGGCTGCCATCTACCCTTGTACACCATGGGTCCATGAGCTGCTTTGATGAAGTTGCAAAGAGTGAAGTGGAGAACATCCTCAAGAAAATGAAGCCTTCATCCTGTGCCCTGGATCCCTGCCCCTCATCACTCATAAAATCTAATCATGCCGCAATAAGTCCGTTAATCACACAAATAATAAACAAATCACTGAAATCTGGTCATGTTCCATTGCCTCTTAAAACAGCCATCATTAAACCTCTTCTAAAGAAATCTACCCTGGATCCAGATATTCTTTCCAATTACCGCCCAATTTCACATCTTCCTTTTCTGTCAAAAGTGCTGCAAAAAGCTGTTGCCGCTCAGCTGCAGCTTCATCTAGAACAAAACTCCCTGTACGAGAAATTTCAGTCTGGGTTTCGTTCTGCTCACAGCACTGAGACCGCTTTGCTGAGAGTTACTAATGACATCTACATGGTAGCTGATGCTGGGTCTACATCTCTCCTTGTTCTCCTTGATCTAACTGCAGCCTTTGACACTGTGGACCATAACATCCTACTACACCGTCTTCATGTGGAGGTCGGTCTCTGTGACACCGTTCTGGACTGGTTTAAATCTTTTCTCTCCAATCGGCTGGAATGTGTTAGCCTCGGCAAGGCCAAGTCCCAGGCTGTCTCTGTCTCCTGTGGTGTCCCACAGGGGTCAGTATTAGGGCCCCTGCTGTTTTCCCTTTACATGCTGCCTTTGGGTCAAATCATAAATCGATATAACATCTCCTTTCACTGCTACGCCGACGATATACAACTCTATATTGGAACTGGAGCATCATCACCATCTTCACTTAATGCTTTCACTACCTGCCTGGAGGAGATAAGGAAGTGGATGACTCAGAATTTCCTTCAGTTGAACTGCTCCAAAACTGAGGCCATGCTGATCGGAACACCTCACCAGGTTCAATCTTCAACTATGACGACTGTTTCCTTTTCTGGACAAGACATCCCATTTTCCACCATAGTTACAAATCTTGGAGTTAGAATGGATTCTCAATTTACTTTTGAAAATCACATTAAGCATCTGTCTAAAATCTGTTTCCTTCATCTTCGTAATATCTCCAAAATTCGTCCGTTCCTTTCTTTTTCTGATGCTGAGACTCTCGTTCATGCATTTGTCTCCTCCAGGTTAGACTACTGCAACTCTCTGTTTGTTGGAATCCATAAAAAACATCTTCAGAAGCTCCAATACATTCAAAACAGCGCAGCCAGGATTCTCTTGAGGGCCCGCAAATCTGCCCATATTACACCTATTCTGCATGACCTTCACTGGCTTCCCATCACCTGCAGAGTTCAATACAAAATCGCGCTCATCACCCATCAGTGTTTAAACGGATCCTCACCGGATTATCTGAAGGACCTTCTCACTCCACATTCATCCACCAGATCTCTTCGATCACAAGACTGCAACTTCCTTCACCTTCCTCGCTCCAGATTAAGGTCCATGGGAGATCGGGCCTTCGCTGTCGCTGCCCCCCGTCTCTGGAACTCTCTCCCAGATCATCTGAGAGCTCCACAACCATTGAATGATTTTAAAAGAGGCTTGAAGACTTTTTTATTTAAGCAAGCCTATTCTGCCTCCACATGATTTTTATGTTGTTTATTTTTATCTTTGATTTTATTGACCACATGATTTTTATGTTGTTTATTTTTATCTTTGATTTTATTGACCACATGATTTTTATGGTTGATTTTTATCTTTGATTTTATTTGCACTGTGTAGCACTTTGAGATTTTTCTTAATGAAAAGTGCGGTACAAAATTGGATTTATTATTAAACATGCTCATTCCATTCGTAGATCGTCTTATTTCCCCACTCAAACTAAGGGTAAATACACTTGTTTAATAAATGTTTTGTCATTTTAAGATCATTTTTACAGTGTGCAGCTCGTTGTTTTTTTTTAGCAATAAAATTCAATCACAGCTTTAAGGCACAGCCAATGGGTCTCCTTCATGCACAATGCCTATCAGCATACCAGTTTAATTCGCTTTCAATTCAGTTTATTTATATAGCACCAATTCACAACATATGTTATCTCAAGGCCACATATCATCTCAAACACACTGCAAAACAATCTAGAAATAAGTAAAAATGTCTT